TTACCAATTAGTTCTCAACCAAAAGAAATAAAAAAAAATCCAACATTGCTATCCAAGCTAATAAATATATTTTCCCTTATTCCACAACAACCTAAACTATAACGAGCAACACAATCTCTCAAACCCTTAACACCAACAATAACGTTGAGTTCTCCCTTACAACAACTCTCTCTATTCCTCTCAACCAAACAACCTCCACTAGCTTTAACCACTAGCTCCACAACATCATATTAACCCTTGCTAGTTGCAAATCCAACGTCAGCTCAAGCAGTATCGCCACTGTGAGTACCATTATCAATGGCTTCTCATCTTTTATCCAAGCCACTCATAGCTTTATCTCTCTAGCGACTAGTAGCTCTCTCTCTTCTCCATGCCATCCAAAATAACAACCAACAAACCAACGTCATCTTTTTGACCTCGTCCTATGATGATATACACTCTAATTGCATCAAAGTCTTGGTCTTAATATATTTAGGAAAGAAAAAAAAAAGGATCTGAAATTTTTTTATGATTGGTTTATTTGGTTTTAGTTTGTTTTTTGTTACACAGTCGATGTAGATAGAAAGAGAAAGGTGTTGGTTTATATGTTATGTAGCTAATCATTTGGTTATACGTGATATTATTATATTCATGTAAATGCATATTTATTATTAATAAAGAATCTTTAATATTTATATTATATTATATTAATGAATCTAGAGTAAAGAAAAAATCCATGGGACAAAAATATTTTGCAAAAAAATTATAAAGTTGTTATAATTATGAAATTTATATTGCATCAAAGTATTGTTCCTAAAATGTTCATGATCGATGATATCTTAAATACTAGATATTCACTAAAGTCATAAAGACGGATACATATTATCTTTTTTTTTTTATGAAATGAAGTAATTGTTCTCATAAGCTGAGGTATAAGGGATACCTAGAACTAATATGTAGGTGCATGTCATAATACATGTACATTGAACTGACTAGCATGAGAATTTCATGTAGAGAGATTACCAATGTTTTTGGAAAGACTCACGTTTAAAATCACTAAATCATCTTATATAAAGAATATTATATTTTAATCTTATTAAATGTATCTTAATCAAGATAATAAAAGAGTACTTGAGTGATCCTTAGATTTTGTTACATTGGGTATAGCATGAACTATATGAAGCTACTTAAGTAATCAAGAGAGGATTCATCACCCTAAGTGAATTAGAAAAAATATTTCATCTATTCTTAAATATTATTAACTAGGAAATCCTTGACTAAGGTGGAATGAGATTTGAAATGAGTTTCAAATCTTATTCAAATTATCAATGAGTATTATACAGAGAATAAATATAATTTAACATGGCAGATATACTCTATGTTTTAATGTTAAATTAGAACATTATTGATGAAATGGTATTAATTATATTAAGAAACATGTCACTAAAAGATTAAGTCAAACTACTAATAATTTTTCTAATATTTTAGGGGTCATGACATGTTGCTAGACAATGCACCTAGTCTTCAAATATAAATTAATCAATTATTTAATTGATAATAATTTAAATTATTTTATTTATTTTATTCTATTTAATTATAATTAGAATTTATATTTGGGCCAACATATTAGGAACTTAATGGGTCACATACATTAAGAACTATCAATCAGAAATTAAATTCAGATGATATAATTAAGTATGACTTGATTAAAATATATTTTTGAAATTAAGAACTAAAATATAATTAATACATAGATTATATTTCTAGAACCATAAAAATCAAGTAAGAACTTGATTGAGTTAATTTCTAAAATTATCCTGAATTAATATATAGATATTATAAATGGAGCAATTTGATATTTTACTAATTTATAGGGTTTTTTATATTATCCTATAAATAATAAGTTATGTTTCTTATTTTTATGAGTTGTTGTATGTTAGATATAAAAAAAAAAAAAAACTAGGTAAACATAAAATTAGAGTTAACACTCTAAGCATAACAATCCCTCTCTCCTAAATAGAAATTTCTCATGAGTGATTCGTGAGGATTATTGTTAGAAATAGTATAATTGGATGTCTTGTGGTTTGTGACAACACAACCTTTAAATAATTATTCAAAGTTGAAAATAATCAAATCTTCAAGTAATAAATCCCTAACTGTCTAACGGGATCCTAGATACTCCTGAATAATTTTTTTTCATAGTTTCTACATGTATAATATTCAGGAAACCCAAACAAAAGGAGAGACACTTTAGATCTCATGATAGGTTTTCTTCTAGTGATAAAGTGTGTGAACTCACACACTGTCAATGATAATGGCGCGTGGATACACACACCATCAATATTCCAGTGGTTCTTCAGCTTTGAATCCAATAGTTCTTAGACACTTTAAGCACCTCGAAAAGTCAATTCACAACCTCAAATCATTTTTTTGACAAATTGATAAAATGTCGTGCACTTTAGTTGACAAAATGCTTATTATTGTGTATAATTCTTATACTATTTGGACAATGTTAATTTGGTTTGATGTGTGTTTTGACTTTTAAATGACTTGAATATTTATTTGAATTGTGAGTTGTTTTTAGGTGTTGATTGCTTTTTTGACATTAAATTTTGGTGCATGAGTTATGCTTGAGTTTGTGTTGATTTATTAAAATTGGCATGAAATTTGAACAAAGTTCACGAAATTAATAAGATTCGTGTAGATTTTTTATGTTAATCATGTTCGAGGTAATGAACGATAATTCATTTTGAATTAATATCATGTTTAAAATAGTTAGATAAAAACATGTTATTTATGTTTCGCTAAAAGCGGCCTCAATCTAGTTTCAATAAATTTTTAAATTTTTTGAAAGATCATTTTGCAATTAATTTTGGATTCCCCACATTTTTCCCCTTTATATTTAATATTTGAAATTATGACCTATACACAAGGTGTTTTTATGGTATTAAATACATTGGTTTCTTTCCACAAAAACAACAAAAATCTTTCTTTCAAAAAATATAAATTTATTTCAAATTGCATATAGGCAAGTCTTTCAAAAATAAAAATCAAAATCAAATTTGCATAAATAAAAAAAAATACAAGGCATGATTTAGCATTCTTAAATACAAAAATGCAAGAAGAATAATTTTGTTGATATCTTTGCATATATTTTTTAATTTGATAATCAGTTTATAAAATCTATAAGAACTTGGCCTAAATTTTAAAAATACCACAAAAGATTATTTTTTTTTAATATTAAGGATTACAAACTTATATATAAGATCTATTCCTAGTATTGATAAAAAAAAATATAAAAAATATTTTTTAACTCTAAAATAGCTAAGATTGACATCCACTCTACTAGGAAGGACTGATTTTAATCGTTAGACAAACAAACAATTATAAAACATAACAATATTTTAATTTATATTAGATAGAAAAATAATATTGTTTACTTTAAGTAAAGTATATTAGATATGATACATAATCCTTATATATAATTAATTTTCTTATCTAAATTTTAAGACTAATTAAGATTTATAATAACTAAAATATTATGTAACAACAAATAAGAATTTTTTATTATTTTTATACCCATCACAAAAATTCCACTCCAAGAAGGCGAAGCTGCACACATTCTATAATAATAATAATAATAATAATGATTAATTCAATGATTAAGTCAACGAGAATGACTATGAAAACCATGACTACTACTAGTATACTTTATTCGACTTCGTCCGCTCCTTTTGCAACCACCAATTTAGTTCCATTTGGAAATACTGCCCTAGTGTTTGTACAATTCGGCAAATAAGTCTGTTTTGAAAAAGTTATGTTCAGATGTTATCCTCTATTTCCAGATTTTGGTTAATCCAACATAGTCAAACTACATTGCTTTGAATTGTAATATGACAACCAATTATAATTTCGATTTAACTAAATTAAAACTATTCCAGAAGATAAAGTTTTAAGAATCTCAGATTAAAAAATTCCAAAAATAACTAATAATTAATTTTTAAAAAACTAATAAATAAAAAATTTATTGTTAGCATAAAATTTTGAAAATTATTAAGAAATGAAAAACTCTAAATTTTTAAAAGATATAAATAATTTTGAAAACGTTCAGCCATTACAATTTTTGAAAATGAACTGTAAATTATATTTCCCAGACCAAGTTTTAATTTAAGTTTTTTTATTATTATTATTAAAGTCTTCAAAATTAACTTATGACGGAGAAAGTTAATAAATGATCTATTTTTAATATTTTTAATTTCTGAAACATTTATATTTTTTTAAGAATCCTAAAAATTTAATTTTACAATTTTTAAAATTTCTCCGATAATCTTTGAAAATTTCCTATCGGGGCATTTTGAAACTTTGTTTTTCCCCTTGAAAGTGTTCTTTTAATTCTTGAAAATTTTAATAATTAAGCTTTGTTGGAATTATTTTTATTTCTTAATAAATTTTAAGCATTTATTTTTTATAAACATGATATTTTCATTCCTCCAAGAAAATTTAAAATTTCTTATTTCTATGAAAAATACAATATTTTTTATTCCTTAAACTGTTTTAAAAAATTATAATCTACAGTGGTCTTGTCATCCAATACAGTTTAGTTAAATTGGCATAATTTTATAAACATAAACTTGTGTGTGTTGATGGTTATTGGTGGATTGCAATACGAGGCACGGTCAGACGGTTTCTCCAAATACATTCCTTGATCAACATGCACGCACGGATGGCCTGTAATTATAAAATTATTTCAATGACAGATTTCCCAGAAAGCTTGCGAGGACAATCCATGATTTCTTAAATTCCGAATGGAGGGCCCTTGCATGGAATATACATAAACTGATGAAGCAAGATCACAGAGTTACACTCAGAAGATTTATTTGCTCATTTCATTTAAAAAGGACAAAAGGACGATACTACTGGCAGAGACCGATCACCTAAATTGTGTGGAATGGGCAAATGGCATTTGGTGTCAGTAAAGCTTACTTGATGATCCTAGCGACAAAGGAATCACTAAACCAGAAGGAATGAAACATCCAAGTTTCAAGCATGATAAAGAATCAATTGAAAAATTGCATTGAAAGTTTCAACAGCTCCTTCCCACCAAGATCTACGTAAAACTACATTCACCTTCAACCTAGTGGCAAATACTGAAAATCCTTTACGTTTTGCTGTAGAAGAGCTACAATCACATTTTCTTACAACTTCAACAACACGACTTGGACATAAAGGCATCTTCTATTTTAGAAGATACGGTGTAAAGGGTGGAAAAAGGAAAGGGATTTTCTTTTTTTCTTTTTTCTTTTTTTTGGGGGGGGGGATGAGATCTAGCTGGCCCCATAGAGAACACGTTGCTTCCTCCTGGATTCTTCAATAGCCATTTCAGGTCAACGATATAACATAGCAAGTGCTGCAGGTTGAAGGCATTTGAAATGCAAATATTGTTGTAGCCTCCACCTAACTCGGTGGGAAAGGAAAAGAAATCTTCTCCAGCAGCATTACATTTCTTCCGCGGATCATCTTTATGCATAGTACATGTATAAGCTGTTTGCAGCAGCGCAGGCAATGGAATTTTCAGTTGGATGCCATGCTAGGTGATGCAACTTCGTGGTGAAATCAAAAGAATTTCCATTCGCATCAACTCCTGGGCCTTCTGCTCCTGTTAGTGAGTGATCTCCAGATTAATATATTAAAAACAAGTTGTTAGGATGACAAAGGAACATGGAAGAGGGGTGCTAGGTAGGAAGGAAGAAGAGGAGAAGTGAAGGCACTGACCCCGTCTTACAACGCGTGTTATGCTGCTTAGGGATCTCGAAGGCCTTGAAGGGGTCTGGACTTGTCTCCTAATATTGTAATTCAAGATTTATAAGATATCACATATTAACTATCGTTAGTTTCAATCTCACTGTTATGTCAATCAGAAACTACCTCATTGGATTTTTGCTGGCTTCTAAAGTTGATGCCTCAGTACTTCCCAGGGCACAGCCAAACACTCGGAACAGATTGCTTTGGACATGAAAAGAAATAACATATTATGGGCACATGGAGAGATGATGTCAATAACAATAATAGTCACCAGATGTATGGACATGTAAGAACCAGACCTGTAGGAGCCTGTTGCAACTCGCAGTCCATCACCACTCAAACAACACTCGAATTTATCAAAGATGGAATCGTTTTCATATAAATCACACAACTGGGTAAATTCAAAAAAAAAATAATAATTAGAATGGACACGGCTTAACAAAGAAAATTTTCAGGCTAAGCTGTCTAAAGAAAGGAATCTCACCTTTGGTCTTAAATATTCATGAACCTGGAAGGTTGCAACTGGACCTGAATCCATATTGATATCCCACAGCTATAATAAAGAAAATAAACAACTGAGAATAAAAAAAAATTTAAACTTAACATTGAGAGGACATGCATGAATAACTTCTTTAGGTATCATGAAAATAAAATCAACCACTCTAAGAACTAGGTTGTAGTTTTTTGAAACATTCACACAAAGCCAAACCAGAAATAATAGGAAAAATAATGACATGCGTTTGATATTTTTGAGATATTTTCCAGTTTCTTGAAAAATCTTTCAAGAATATAGAAAACTATACAGATTGTTTTTACCAGATAAATGTTTTTTTCTTGGAAAACTTGGTTTCTAATTTTAGCAAGTTTGGAAAGATGAGTTTTTCTGTTTTTTTACTCATTCCCATATTCCAATAGACAAATATACTAAACCAAACATTTTAAAGTTAGGGAAAAACAATTTATCGGAACAGATGAATAGAAAAAAGAGAGAACAAATTAGAAAGTCCCTATAATGTACTCATGCCCTCCAAACATGTGAAATTAACAAGTCCAAGTAGAATAAAAATCTCTAACATTACAAAATAACACGGCACGCATCATCAATCCAAACTCTTTCCATCGTCCAGAAACCTGCATCTTTATAAGCTAGTATAATATATGCCTAACATTGTTCTTTGATCAAAATGGCTTCAAGGTAAACAAGGTTTCGGTGTTGACCAGCTTGCAAAAATGCTTAATTTATCATAAAATTTCATACAGTAGTACCCATTTTCCCTGAATCAACTATCTTTGCCACCATAGCATACACTGGAAAACATGATCAAGTAAGCAAAAAGAAAAAACAGTTTTAGAATGCTCCAACATGCAGTCTCCCACCATTTTTTTTTTTTTATTGTTTTTCAGATTAATAATGTCAGAAGTGCCATCCTCGCAATTTTATGAACAGAATATCCTATTATGTACTTAGTGTCAAATGTCTTAGAACCTTGTTACAGACATAACCTCCTTTGTCTAGCTTACAGCAACAGTTAATAGAAGAAACAAATTTGCAGGAAACAAACAATTTCTATCTCTAGACATTTTGCTTGATGAATATTGCATAGTTGGAATTATACTGTTTGGACATCCTATGGATTGCAGAGATGGATATTTCTTCTATGCATAAAATGCATAACAGTGCATGCTTAAGAGGCCAGTTTTATTCAATAACCCTTGACTCATATGACTATTTGAATCCAAAAGACATACAACAAATTCAATGAAAAAAATATGAACCAAAACCTTTGCAATTATATCAACCCAAACCTTAAGAGTCATGTAATCACGACTTAGTATATGTCTTCCATCCCTTGCAAATTTAATATCAGAGATTGAGGCAATTATTTCTGTAAAAAATGATCTGGAGCCTGGTGCCTCTGGTTCCTCAAACCTGCATGAGTAGATGATGTTACTGGAGGGCTGTTTATAGTATTGAAACAAGACTTCAAAAAAAGCCAGTAAAAACACTTACAATTTGGCATGAGAGTCACACAAAGCTGATTGTCGCATATCAATGAGTCGGATTGAGCCTTTTGAACTGCTGTATGCTAACATATTGCAATGGCTGGGGTGGAATTCTGCTGATGTTATAACCTCTGCAGGTATAAGTGTACAGGTAGTTGAGACATCAAGTAGAGTATCAGCAATACAGATACTTAGCAGTTGAAACCAGTGTTGTCAACAGGCACTGAGGCGCTCCAGAGAAGGCGAGGTGAGGCCCCAACACTTTTATTAGCCTCAAGCGTTGGATTTCATTGGATTTCAATGAGGCGCTCGCCTAGTTTGTGGGTTGTGCAAGCGTTGGATTTCAATGAAGTTCTTCCTTTTCTGTTGGATTTTTCTTTTTTTCTTTTTTTAACCACAAGAAACAACTTAGCAGTATTTTTGTAAAAAAACAAAGAATAGGGTAAAAAAATAAAAAAAATCATTAAAGTGGAAGACAAACAGACAATGAAGGACACTTAGAAGAGAAACACCAACCACACTTTATTTTTTCAACAGTGGGAGTCGAAGAACAACACATTTTTACAATTAATACTTTATTTTTTTCTAAATAAGTGCAATATAGTTTGAGAGATGAAGATTTCGAATATAATCATGAAATGAAGGATATGGAGGATTCAAGTGAAGGAGAGGAAAGCACGCATGGAGATGTTTTTGAAGATTAACAAATAATGATGATGATATTTAATTTTTCTTTTTAATCTATTTGGCTACTTACTACTTTAAATTATCTTCTTTTTTTAAGGATGAAAAATATAACTTTATATGACTATGTTATGATATTTTATATTTTCCTTTGATTTTCTAATGATGTAATCTTAATTGGGAAGATATATATTTTAGATTTATATAATATAATATAATATATATTTTTTTTAATTTATAGCATATCGCCTTGGTTCATTTGAGCAAGTGCCTGGGTATGCGCCTAGCGCCTCGAGCATTTCATAGGCTTGGTGCCTTTTAGTGTCTTTCGCCTTTGACAACACTGGTTGAAACAATCAATTACTCAACCATAGGGGGGAAGCTGACAGTATATATTGTCCAGTAACTATTCATGAATTCGAACGGAGATGCTGAGTGAGTTCCAGAAAGTAAAACATAAAAACCAGAATTCTCAAAATTTGATCAAAAGTACATGGATCAAGCAAATTTATATAATTAATACAATCAGTATCAGAGACCAAGAGGCTTACCAGTTAAATCCTCCATATTTGCAGGTTTGACATCAACAATATTGAAACTTTGATTGCTAATTTCCAAATTCCAAAGATTTATTCGGAGGTCATCGGCTGATATAAAAGTTTCACCATCACTGGAATATATCAGAGTGTAGGATGATTAGTGAAATTTCAATAAAACCATACCAATATCAGACAAGCTAGAAAAAACCAAGAGAAATGCTCCAGTAAAATCTCTCATTATGTGTTCCAGATAGAGGCAATGAACAAAACTAGCAAGCCTATAAACCCACAATATGCAACTTCTAGCGCAACAGAGGCAACTAAAACAGAATGCACTAGCCAAAACCAAGCAATTCACATGCACAGTGCAATTTTGTCCTTCAAAAATGACAAATTTAACACATGAAAAAAAGCTAAAATTAAGAAAGAAAAAAATTAAGGCCAGCAAGCATAAAGGCACTTAATCCTAACAGCATTTATAGCTCAAATGTCCTCTGATTTAATGTGTGAGATAATTAGCTCACCGCTTTGATAATAAACACCAACTTTACAAGCCTGCAGAAGGGTTCCTAGAATCTTCAAAGATCATTCCATTTTGAGGCAACTGTAATGGGATAGAATTATGGTTTGTCCTTTTTTTTTATGGGGTATCAGGAGGCTTAAAATGATTTCTTCTGGCTGTACTCAGCAAGATTGAGTGCACCCTTAGCATGTTTCTTTATCTTATTCTCCTAATTGTTCCTCTGTACTATTCTCATTCTTATATTGTCTATCTTAAAAAATAAGAGCCACAACACTGTTATTTTCATTGGTCAAAGCATTCCAAATAAAAAATAAAGTACACTAAACCAATTCTTGTCAGTCTCCATCTCCGTCCCCTATTTAGCCCATGGGACTCGTAACACTACAAGGAAAAGAGCACCTTACAGACCAAATGTGCTACAGGCACACAACAATAAAATAAACAACACAACTGCTGCTGCTCTTTTATCACAACATCACTTGTTCTTAAGAGAAAATCTGTGGATGCCAAGTAGTAATGATGGTTTTCCATCGTCAATAAGGAAAGAGAAAATAATGTAAATGTGTAGACAAAGTATTGAAGTTTATCATAGTACAATAATGAACCCAAGAACCAAACAATTACAGAAACTTTAGAAGAGCAATACCTACTGAAACCAAATGCAAATAAAAGTTCCAAACAACCATAAAAGAAAAGGAATAACCTGTTGTTTGAAATTGAATTAATATGATAGTCATGCGCATGGGCATACACCCTTCGACATCTAGCCATCAAGCTTGTCTCGTTGCTAGTCACCTAAGGGTCACATAAGAGTTAGATCCACATAAGATGATACAAACATTTCAGAAAAAAAATTTCCTTATAACAACACCACCCACACCCGCATTCCCCCTAATCCTGCCTGAAACAGGAAAATAAAAGGACTTCCAGGATTAGATTCCTGTCTCATATTTAAAAAAATATGTATATTAAAAGGCACACATAGAAGGAAAAGGGGGAACCAACTTCATCTAAATTTCATTCAGGAACCACATTGCATAAAACACTGCACCAATAACATAGAAAGCTTACATAATCAATTGAAAGCATTGTTCCTAGGACAAGGAGACCATTAAAAAAGCAATATTCATATGATGTATAATCATGGTCATATGTGAAAAGTGGAGATATGTGAAAATTCTTTCAGAGTGTTTAGTTGCTTTAGATTTCATTTGGTCTTCAGCTGTTATGTGATCTAATTGTTAGGATTTCCTTCAGTTTTTTGAGCATTGTGGATTTTGGTTATCATTGAATAACAGTTTGTTTTGTAAGATGACAAGCTTTTTCATCTGGTCTGTTCTGCTGTGTATTCATCTTTCCATTTTAAAGTCTTAAGGCCTGTTATTTCTTCTCTCCTGTGATTTTTCATGAATGGCCCTCTCCCACATGGTACATTTGAAGTGAGAAAACCAAGGTTTGACTTCCATTTATACATTAGCAAATCAATTGACCAGGTTTTAAAGTAATGAAGAATTCTATATTAAAAGTTACATAGGGGAACCAATCCATTAAAAAAAAATTGCACTTCCTTGCTCTTTTAGGTATTAGCGTGTTTATTTTCGATTTTTTCAAAAAAAAATGAGAAAACTGGAGATAATTTTACTTATTTAAAAAACACAAACCAATTCACAGAGGAAAAAAAAGACTTGTTTAACTAAATTACCACAGGTAAACGCAATGATGGAAAACCACCAGGTAAAATGCTCAGGTCATTGCTTGGTAAATTGTGTGACTTGTCTCCTCCATTTGCAAGATATTGTTTACCAATACTTGAATTACTTGAACTGGCAACGCCACCATTTCCTACAGCTTTTGAAGGGTCCACATTCATCTCAGAAATTTTCTTCACCTTCTTTTCTTGGACCTGTACAATTCTCATAAAAAAATATCAAATAAATAAGTGGACAAGAATGTAGCAACCATAGATCAAAAATCAATAAAAATATCACTTGAAGCAGTCAGGACAATGTGTTGATATATGAGATATCCCACAAATGTCTCTTTTGATGCATCCAGCCATCATGATTAGAAGCCCACATTTGAGCACAGATTATGAAAATCCATCTGCATATATTCCTGGTGATGCCTGCTACCCATTCAACCTCTCTAAAGCAACACCCAGACTAATTACAAGGTCAATAATATAGTTCTATATCATGCACTAAGTTGCAGTGTTTCTATAAAGCAGCAAATCGGTACCAACCTATATGCACTTGACACATCAAGAAGGCACCATAACATGCCATGCACAGTTTGATATACATATTCCATTTAAGCTATATCTAGGCACCCTTGCATGCATGATTTATTGAATAGACAAATTCAAAGACAAACCAAAACTTAATTAAGAACTTTGATAAACATTGCCTCAAAGCAGATCAACTTAAAAAGTGATTATATGTATTCTCTCAATATGCCATGTGTACACAACAAGCATACTGGCCGCTGGCTCAATAACATACTAGGTAGTTGAAAATGCTGTAATGAGCTCAGAAGCAGACATGACAAATGAAAAGTGCAAGGTCTTTCATCATGCTTCAAGATAAGGGTCCTTTCCTACCTTCCAATACTTGATGGTTTTATCATTAGTAGATAGGAGAAAGAGAGCACCATTGACTGTTTGGCACCATCTGATTTTGTTGATTTTCTCCTCTATTTCTAAGCTCTTGAGATAGTCAAACTGACCACAAAAGAAATTGAACACAACAGTGAATGTTTGAAGCGTGGTCTGAAAAAATGCATCTGAAATCAAGCCAGGAATAAAAGACAGAAAAGAATACCTCAGGTTCATGGCTCTGAAATTCTGTTTTATATCGAAACTCAGGATGCCTACTAATTGGGTAACCCATCCTCTCCAGATCCCTTCTGGATCTGCCATGCTACACATTAGAGAACAAAATCATCATAACACTACCAGTAGCACTACAATAAATCCACTAACAAGAAACAATTAGCAAAAGCATATCAATATTGGATTTTACAGTTGAAGCTATAGAAGGAAGAAAGAACACACATCCTTAGTGTCAGTCCTCTCAAAGAGAACCACGCGGCCTCCACGATCACCAGTAGCAAGATGATCACCAGATCTATCAAATTCAATAGCTGAAATAATATCAACTGCGGAAAGAAACACAAAACAAGATTTGAGGCATTTTATCACATGTCCTGCCATACAGCTGTGAAGAATATTTTGTAGCCAAAAGGAAATATATGATCATGTTGAAAAGAGGCATAACAAACAAATAAACAAGCACGTAAGCTAAGAACATATGCAGCATGACAATAAGAATAAGAAAAACCAAAATCATTATCACTGATGCCCAGATATAGAAAGAAGCTATGGGCTCTCGATGAGCAGCAGATTGGAACAGCATAGGACACCAACACAACTCCTAGGATGGATAGCCCTTTGCACTTGCTGGAGGTACACAGTATGGTAAGCATTTTTTTGCATAAACAAAAGATAATCTAAGAAATCATTTAACCTTTTCTCCCAATGTTGCAGAATCTTCTGCTAAAATTCATTTGTTCCAGCAACAGATTACCAAACTCAAGACTCCACCACATACAGTTGTACTTTACAACCAAGCAAACAGCCATTCTATTTCCCTGAGCACAAAACAGAAAATTCACCAGGGCAATAACAATCAAATACTCAAAGTATAACAGTGAAGGCACAATTCTGCAACTCCATCCCTCTTGAACCAAAAGGAGACATCAAAGGTAAGTTTCTCGAAAAAATCACGTCTGATGAAGTCATGCTAGAATCAACACCAATCTTTTCCAAATGAAATAAAGTAGCTTTGAAGACCACTCTGTGATGGAATCCTCCTAGAGAAATTATAGTAATTTCTTTAAGGTAGAAATACATACTTTCAGCAACAAATTGTTAGCGTAAGTCCATGCTCCCTGAGCACTGAACAAGACTCTCTGTTCCTTGTTTAAATAAGGATATACAATCCTATCTTCTACATCAAGTCCTCAATAGAAGAAACTATCAAAAGGAAACATCCATTTCTCAAGGTCACTCTTTACCGAATTACCTCAAAGTCATAAACCTTGGCATCCCAACTGCTGGCAGTCAGCTTACGCACTTGCTACTGGTCATTATATTTATTCTTATAGCTCCATCATCTCATCTGCAATGTGATGAGTTTTAGACATGCAACCTTCCTGGAAAACATTGCACTCTTCAAAGCTACAGTTCATGCAAAGATGCAAGTCAAGACTGTTCCAAATGTTATTTCCCAAAATCCTGCTTCAGTGGAAACATAACTGGATTGCTCCTTCATTTCATCTTAATTTAAATAACTTCTAATAATCTTTCTTCATGTTCAAAGATTTCATTCCACTTCAGCAATGAATGGGACACAGGATCCCCACAACCTGCTTCTTTTCATACCCTCTCAAGCTTTATAAATTATATACATGTTCCTTTTTTCTGGAATTTCATCCATCTCACCATCATCATATTGTATCCAACTTCAATAACTCATTATAATGTGATATCTCTTGACAAACCACCAATGACATGTCTTCTATGGGGTTTCTTTCAAGTAAAACTCCTCCATATCTGAGAAACACTTTATTTTAATTTCCACAAGTTTGGAAACGATGCAGAAAAATCCATTCAGTTTAATCTCATACCTATCCGAATCAGGCAACATCCAGGGACATTGACTCAAAAATAAAACTAAAAAAACTAAATCTCTATTCAACTCTAAAGAAGTCTCTCCAGATCTCTACAAACGCTGTTCTTGAACTATGAATAAGAAGACAAAACAATAAAACATAAGTCTATCACTGAACCTGCCCTACTCACATGTATGCATATGTAAAATGTATCAACTATCAACCGAAGAAATTACTATCCGCATAAACATAAAAATCAATACATTTCACTAAATCAGACATATCAACCATTGGTTATACAGTATCATTAAGATCCAAACTATAACCATTAAGTTCTCCACCCACTTCACCAAGCTCACTAGACTACTACTACTACTAATCGATTAATTAACGTATAAAAAAATTGGAATCAGTAATTCTACTAGTTCAAATCAAAACAAAAAATACTCAATGACCCACAACTCGATTCATTAAAGTATTTAACAAATGGGAATCAGTCACTCTAATTGTTCAAATGACAACAACAACAAAAAAACCTCATTGACCCACAAACCAAAACACGATATCTGAATGACCCCCGATCCATTTCGGATACAAAACCCAAAAACCAAACCTAATTAGCAAAACCCATACCAAATATTATGTGGATCCAAATGAATAACATATTACCTTCTTGTACTTCTTCACCGGCTGTTCGTTCACCGAATACCTGAGAGAATTTCCACTCTAGAGGCTGTGGTGGACTTGCCGGAGCTTCAGCGACTTCATCGCCACCGTTCATTTTGTTTAGACGATCAGAAATCAAATAGAGCAGATTAAATCTCAGACCCAGTCAAATCAACCATTCAGTCAGTGAGAATTAAAAAAAAAATCGCATCTTTCAACTCAATATTAGAAACCCACCAAAACCCGTCCTCGACATTTTCATTTCTTAAATGAGAGATGTATTTTGTGCTAATAATAATAGTTCAACCATTGAAAGAGAGCTCTCTCCCATTCGCCTATCCTCTCTTTTTTTCTTTTCTTTTTTATGGCTGGGTTTGGCTTCTTTTTTCTTTTCTTTTTTTCCCTTTCTATTTCTCTGCCTAAATGAGAAAAATAAAATTTCACACTTCTCTCTATAAAAAAGAAAATTATATATATATACACAAAAAAAAAAAAAGGTTTGTCTTTGTTTGTAAAAGGAGAGAATGGGGATTTTAGTGATGTTTTTTTCAAAAAAAAAAGTGGTGGTATAAATTGACCAGGTAGGAAAGGTAGCATGATAACCAAATACGAGGCTTTGATACTCTTTTTATCTTTTAGCTTGTGAGTGTCCTTTGGGTTTCGAATGAGACTTTCAGCAGATCATAGCATCAAACGGTTGTGATGAGAAATAGCACTGAAAAACCTAACTTATGACCGAGGTTGGTTTGTTTTGCCAAAAACTAGTGTTATCTTTTCTTTCTTCATTTGGTTATGCTGAGCAAATAGTTTGTTTAGCTAAATCCCATTTTCTTGCTGTTTGACTATTGAATTACGTGTTTGTAACCTACACATTGCGGGCCAAATACTGAACAGTGCTCGGGCTGAAAGACAGATTCAAACTTCTTTGTTATTGCTACAATTTGTACTTGAAAATGGCCTTTTGAAGTCTTGGGCTCCATATCAAAGTTGTAGGCTTATGTCTTACCTTTCCATTCATATAAAGTAGACCTAAATCTGAGATCTACAGCTTTAGATATGACCCAATTACCTAACAGTGTTCCAGTTTGGATTGCACCGATATCTCTTTTCTAAGTTTGGTCATCTTTTTGTCATTTCAATTTCAGTTCTTAACAAAGTAAGGTATTCATTATTCAACTTCCATTAATCTATCCAGATAAACAAACTCTCATTAAATTTATATATCTACTCAATACCTCTTAACAAGATATTAATAAACCTTTCTTTTGTGCTCAATATATCAACACATAATTATAGGGCTTTTCTTGGAAGAAAACAAATTTTTTGTTATAATATTTAAAGTTAACTTCCTCGGGTTGGGATTATTTTTTTTCTTATATATATATATATATATATAACTTAAAATGAAATGCATATTTAACCCATGTAATAAACTTTCAGCTAATGACTCCCAAATCAGTTGGTCTTAAGGCATTAGGTGTTGAGACACCCCTACGAGCTTAAAACTCGGGTTGCAAATACTATTACGTAGATAGTGCAATGTTTGATTCCCTTAAGCTTTTCTCCTCAACCCATGTAACAAGCGTTGGGCCAATAGCTCCCAAGTCAGTTGAATTTAGGGTATTAGGTGTTAAAACACCCCTACGAGCTTAATTGCTTAGGTTAGGGAGGCTACGAAACCAAACTTATCTACATTTTTATTATCATCATTTTTTTTTTATTTTTT